TTCATAGTTTTTTTTCCTTTTAAAGAGCAACTGAATGTATTAAAATGCACTGCACTACATACAGTATTCGGCTTTAAAACCTATTATATTTATTTATAAATGTATGTACTTATGCGTATAATAAATATTTTATTATATTTAATTTTATTTTTATATAAATATACTATTATTATTATTATTATTATTCAATTGTTAAAAAAATTAAATATTTTTCAAGTTTTCTTTACTTTTCAAGAACAATGAATTCATAAAAGCACAATGCACTACATTTTGTAAATAAATTCTATATATTAAGATCCAAACTTCTGACATTTAAAAATTTGAAATTCATTTCAAATTTAAAATTTGAGAAAGAAGCATTAAGCACTAAGATTTTGATATGTTCAGCCCAGCTTGTGATATGTTTAATACAGACTTACGATAAGCACATAGAAGATGGAATAAATGGAAATGATGAATATGGATGAGATCAAATCATACCAATGGAGATTCTGTGCTGATAAAAGTGCGATATCAGCAGCAGGAGTTTGGGATGGGCGGAGTTTGATACTCTCTTGGGAGCTGCCTTAGTGACCGTATGCCACTCGCCATGGCAACAGGCTTTGGGGGAGGGGCCTGATGCACAGCTGCCGTTATTTATGCACACACCTGCTGCAGCTCACAAACACATACTCACATGAATAAAATACGCTGCATTTACTATATCTTACTGTCAACTTCACTTTTTGAAATGATCTTTATTGGCTGTTGAAGAAAGTGTTCAGATGTCATTTGATGTGTTCGTATGTGTTCATATGAGAGAGAGAGAGCATGTGACACTGTGTGGGCTCCTGATCACCCTGAGGAATTTAGATGAGTTTGAACAGTGTCCTTCTTTCACACACTTTTATACGTGCACACACACACATACGTTTACTTGGCCATCTGAGTGAGAACATATCATAGACTTCTGCTGTTATATAAAACAAAATACCACAACTTTAACTCTAAAACAAACATGCATTTCTAAAATGTAAAAAATAAGTTGTTTTTTACTTGAAGGTTTTCATTGATGACTAATGTCATGACTAATTATTAGGGGTGGGAATCTTTAGTCACCTCACGATCCGATCCGATTCTGGGAGTCACGATCCGATTCCAGAACGATTCTTGATCTACTTTCCCCCCCTTATTAATTAATTAATTTACCGACTTGAGAATCTTAAAATCCTTACATTTACATATCTTTACATAAGTAATTAAGTACTTTTTAAAATAATTACAATTTGAAAAAAATAATTAAAAGAGTTGTATGTTAAGAATTTTTAACTAATATAACTTCAAAACATACAAGCAAGTAGCAAATAATAAAGGAGCATAGAAACATATTGCAAACAACAAACAAAGAGTGCTTTCAGTATTTACGATGATCTGAACGTTTTCCATTCAAGAACTGTGAGTGATTTTTCTTCATCTTTACTGTTGTTTTTTACTATGACATCATAGACCGCGGGAGATCTATTAAGCACGGATCTCTTTTGAAATATAAGAAGTAATGTGGTTTGTCCTGTCCGTTTAATCCCTTAAGACATAACTGGCTGTGTTTACATTAATTTTGCATCATAAAACCATTTTCAGACACAAACCAATTACCATGAATATAACCCTTAACAAACGTATATTATTCTATTTTAATTATTATATATAATTATTATATATTATATTATAATACTGTTTTTTCAGGGTGTCCTAAAAATATATCCTTTTTTATATATAAATATATGCTTATGCTTGCATATATATTTATTATATTTTATATAATGTGTGTAAAAAAAATTCACTTAGCGCTTTTGTCATATTTAGCTCTCTTGAAACAATTTTGTTCTCAAACTATTAAGTAATTACATTATAATCTGTGTGTATATAATATTATAATATTAATATAATTAATTAATTAATCTGTTTTTTTGTTTCTTTAGTTTTCTTATAGACTCTGTAAATGAGATTGGAATTGGAAGCAAGCAGAATACGGGTGTTTCTAAAGCAAACTCAGCGTCATCACGCATCTGGTTAAAAACTAAGCTCAGAATCGATTCTGAATCGCCAGAGAGAGAATCGCGATGCATCGATTTTTTTCTCCCGCCCCTACTAATTAATGTCTAAATATGTATGGCCGCAAGCCTAAAAGAAACATTTGAGTCAATATTTGTCATATTTAGCTCATTTTAAGACAAATGTGTTGTCAACCTATTGTTAGTTATTTATATTATAATCTCTGTGTGTTTTGTGTTTCTTGAGGTGTCCTGCAGACTTAGTAAAAATTTATAATTAGGAATTAATGAATGTGTGCAAATATATAAAATATACAACTGTTTTTTTGTTTCTTTAGTTGTCTTATAGACTCTGTAAATTCATGAGTTAGTGAATAAATAGAAATAAACAAATATATATTAATATAATTAGCATGCCCATAACCCTTTAAAGAAATATTTGCGTTTTTGTACATTTTTTTTTTTTTCCAAATTTTTATCTTGACTGTTTTGTAATGTTTATCTACTTTCTGAGACCGTTTTGTTCTAAACTGTTGTTAAATAATAGTAATAATTGTTTCATGTTTTGTGTTTGTTCAGGTGTCCCGCAGACTTCGTCGGCCCCCAGTGTCAGTTCCTGAACCCCTGCAGCCCGTCGCAGTGTCGTAATGGAGGCGTGTGTCGCACACGGATGAAGGGCAATGACGTGGAGCTGGTCTGCGACTGCGTGTTGGGATACAGCGGCCCGCTCTGTCTGACGCCCGTCAATCACGCCTGCATGGGCTCCCCGTGCCGAAACGGCGGGACATGCTCTCTGCTCACGCTCGAGACCTTTACCTGCCGCTGCCCACCTGGATGGTCAGGTACGCATGTGCATAAATCACCCAGACTTGATGCTCGTCCTCATGGGTTGCATGTAGTGGTGCAAAGGATCACAAACATGTAATATGTTTGGATCATATTACATATTTTGAGTCATAGATGGGATCATTTTTCGGATCAGCAATAAAATTAAAAATTACAAATTACCGAAAACTTACTTCTATACCACAGCAGAAGCTACTAGTTTAATTACGACAGTCAGTAATAAAACAAGAACATTTACACAAATTACAATCATAGATGAATATACAACATAGCACAGTTACAAATAAAGTCAGTAACAGAAGTATGCAGGTGCAGAAATGTAATAATTAAGTGTAAAATAACACAATAGTGCTCACTGCACAAGTTAAATACAGATAATCTTAAATAAAGCTGTGGTGTTATTTGATTAGAAGACCAGACAGGTATTTACAGGCTTGTCTCTTTAAGACCGAATGCTGACACACCTACGGTTTTTTTCTCAGCTGTTACATTCACATATACGACAGTGTTTACCAGAATACTTGCCAAAACGGGTATTTTAACGTTACTTTGTGCGTATGTGAAAGAGGAGTCAATAGGTTGTTCACGTGCTGTCTGTCCCGATTTGAATTCTCTTTCACATGAATGGTTTAAAATCGCTTGAATGAGTAAATTGGCAAGAAAAAACATGCAAATGATTAGCTTTCACTCTCTGATGATTAACAGTTAATCCGTGAATCACCGTGGGGCCTGGTCCGTACGGATCATCTGTTGCACCCCTAGTTTCATGATAAGTTAACCTCTGTCTTTTTGCAGGTAAAACATGCCAACAGGCTGACCCATGTGCGTCGAACCCCTGTGCCAACGGCGGACAGTGTTCAGCGTTCGAGTCGCACTACATCTGCACCTGCCCTCCTAACTTCCACGGACAGACGTGCCGGCAGGACGTGAACGAGTGCGCCCTCTCGCCCTCCCCCTGCCGGAACGGAGGCACCTGTATAAACGAGGTGGGATCGTACCTGTGCCGCTGCCCACCTGAGTACGCTGGCACACACTGCGAGCGCCTCTACCACCCCTGCCACCCCTCGCCCTGCAGGAACGGAGGCACCTGCTTACAGACCAGCGACACCACCTATGCCTGCACTTGTCTGTCAGGTCAGTGTGTTATTTGTATTTCTCTAAGTTAAAATTTGATTAAACACATTTTTTATTGAATAGGAAAAAATTCAAATTAAAAAAAATATAATACTTTAATAATGCGTTTTATAGATAAATATATTTTGTTTATAAATGAAAAAATAATTATCTAAATTAATAAATGAAAGAATTTTATGAATATTTAAAAAAATATTTAGAAATGAATACATTTTATGAATGAATTAATAAATACATGAATACATTTTATAAATAAATACTTTATGATTGAATGAATAAATATTTTTGTGAATTAATACGTTTTATAAATGAGTAAGTTATTTTATGAATGAATCAATCAGTTTTATAAATAATTTTTTTATAAATGTATGAATGAATAAATTAATTAATGAATTTTATTAATACTTAATAATATATTATAGATGATCATTTGTGTAAATAAAAATTAATGAATACATATGAATAAGTTTTTACAAATAAAAATCTATATTTTTTATAAATAAATGAATGAATAAATCAATTTTATAAGTGAATATATAAATGAATGAGTACATTTTATAAACAACAACAGTTTGTGTTGTTAAACAATAGTAACAACAATAGTTTGTTGTTGTTGAATATATATATAAATGAATGAGTACATTTTATAAACACTTTGAATGAATTAATGATTTTTATAAATTAATGTATGAATTCATAAATTATTTATATAAATGTACGAATAAATTTATATTTTTTTATAAATGAACAAATATTTTTATGAATGAATCAGTTATAAAAATTAAATAATGAACAATTTTAATAAATGAATGAATAATATTTTACAAATTAATGAATACATTTGACAAATAAGTGAATGAATAAATAAATTAAAACCAATAAAAATGTAACATTTAGTTTACATTTCAGTTTAGTTTGTTTTATTACCATTATTTGTACTTCAGACTGGTTTTATTTCATTCCTGCCTGCAGAAACAATAGTTTTTGTCTTTGCATACGTTAATAACTCTGCATGTGCACAGTTATTCATTAACAGTTTGTCTGGATGCGGTGCTTTTTGTCTTAGTTTATATTTAATCCCAATGAGTGACCTAGATGTCTCAGTTACTCACTCGAGCACATAAACATAATCCGTGTACGGCCTCAGACTCTTTGATGTGTATTGAACGTGAATCATTTGTCTCTCGCAGGGTTCACGGGTCAGACGTGTGAGCATAACGTTGACGACTGCACCCAGCATGCCTGTGAGAATGGAGGCAGGTGTATCGATGGCGTAAACACCTACAACTGCCACTGCGACAAACACTGGACCGGTACTACATTTTATACTCCACAATAATAATAATAATAATAACCATACAATGCAATAAATATTTTGCATGCACCTCACATGTGACGTCTGATCCCTTCCTCCTTCAGGTCAGTACTGTACGGAGGACGTGGATGAGTGTGAGCTCTCTCCTAATGCTTGTCAGAACGGAGGGACATGTCACAACACCATCGGCGGCTTTCACTGCGTGTGTGTGAACGGCTGGACGGGCGACGACTGCAGCGAGAACATCGACGACTGCGCCAGCGCCGCCTGCTCGCAGGGTGCCACCTGCCACGACAGAGTCGCATCTTTCTTCTGCGAGTGTCCACATGGACGCACAGGCACGTCTGTTTGTGCAGTTTCAACGTCCAACACCACTGTTATTGAAGTATTATTTATATCAAATTTTTGTAACGTTATTATGGGCTTTTGTCTTTTTTTAATATTTCAGTTTAAAGGGTTAGTTCACCCAAAAATGAAAATTCTGTCATTAATTACTCACCTTCATGTTGTTTCAAACCTGTAAGACCTCTGTTCATCTTCGGAACACAAATTAAGATATTTTTGATGGAATCTGAGAGCTGTCTGACCCTCCCATAGACAGCAAGGCAACTGAAATGTTCCCAAGTCCAGAAACGTAGCAAGGAGATTGGTAAAATAATACATGTGACATCAGTGGTTCAGCCGCAATTATACGAAGCTACGAGAATACTTTTTGTGCGCAAAAGAAAAAAAAAAAAGTTTATGTTTACAGGGTGATGCTGTTTACAGGGTGATGCGGAGGAGACGAATTGTTGAATAAAGTCGTTTTTTTTTTTTCTTTAGCGCACAAAAAGTATTCTTGGAACATTTCAGTTGCGTTGCTGTCTATGGGAGGGTCAGAGAGCTCTCAGATTGCATCAGAAATATCTTAATTTGTGTTCTGAAGATGAATGAAGGTCTTACGGGTTTGAAACGACATGAGGGTGAGTAATTAATGACAGAATTTTCATTTTTGGGTGAACTAACCCTTTAAGTTTTAGTAATTTTCATACCTCTACTTATTTTATTACATTTCATTTCAACTTCTTATTTTATTTTAGTTGCCAAGGCAGCATTTCTACATTTCAAGTTTTCTGAGTTTAAGTTTTTCATCTACGAATTTATTTTATTTGATCTTTTATTTTAGTTTAGTTTAGTTTTTCACTTGTCTATATTATATTTTTATTTTTATTTTATTTTAGTTCGGTTTATTTTATTTTATGAGTATTATTTATATTTCAGTTGTGCTGCATTTCTGTGTATGAAACCAATAGCTTTTATATTTTTTTATATTTTATATTTTTTGTTTTGTTTTAGTTGAGTTCAGTTTAGGTTATTTTATGAGCATTATTTATATTTCAGTTGTGTTTCATTTATGTCTATGAAACCAATAGCTTTCATATTTTTTTATTTTATTATTTTGTTTTAGTTCAGTTTAGTTTAGCTTAGTTTATAGGCATTATTTATATTTCAGTTGTTTCATTTCTGTTTATACAACCAAAAGCATATTTTTTATTACTTTTTATTTTATTTTGTTTTAGTTAAGTTAATTTTAGTCAATTTTATGGACATTGTTTATATTTCAATTTATTTTATTTTTATTCTACCTACAAAAACAATAGTTTTTGTCTTAGCATACGTTAATATTTTATTTTAGTTCAATTTATTTAATTTATTTTCATTTCATCTATGAAAAGCATATCTTTTATATATTTAAATTTTTATTCCAGCTTAATTTCAGTAACCAACACCAGTTTTGATTGTAGTTAACGGTAACAAAACTGTTCCCCACAGGTCTTCTGTGTCATCTTGACGATGCCTGCATCAGTAATCCATGTCAGAAGGGCTCAAACTGCGACACGAACCCAGTGAGTGGAAAAGCCATCTGCACCTGTCCGCCCGGGTACACGGGATCCGCCTGCAACCAAGACATCGATGAGTGCTCGCTCGGTAAGAATAACACATGATCGATTAGAAAGAACAATAAACTCCATACAGTTTTGCATTACAATACTGTTTGCTTTGCATTTCAGGTGCGAACCCATGTGAGCATGGCGGACGGTGTCTCAACACTAAAGGCTCGTTCCAGTGCAAGTGTCTTCAAGGTTATGAAGGTCCACGCTGTGAAATGGACGTCAACGAGTGCAAGTCGAACCCCTGCCAGAACGACGCCACCTGCCTCGACCAGATCGGTGGATTCCACTGCATCTGCATGCCAGGTATGAGTCTTTAACCATTGACCTGCATCAAAAGCACATCATTACTGTTATTCTAACTGACTGTTTTGGTGTGTAGGTTACGAGGGTGTGTTTTGTCAAATAAACACAGACGACTGTGCATCACAACCTTGCCTCAACAATGGAAAATGCATCGACAAGATCCACTCATTCCACTGCCAATGTCCCAAAGGTGACTGCAGCATTATTATTTTTAAAGATTTGATCATAAAAACTAGCAATGAGGATGCATTGCGGGTGAGCAATCAAAATAAACGTGGCATGCATTTTTCCCTGCAGGGTTCTCTGGGAATCTGTGTCAGGTGGATGTGGACGAGTGTGCCAGCACACCGTGTAAAAATGGCGCTAAATGCACAGACGGACCCAACAAATACACCTGCGAATGCACTCCAGGTACACATCTTTAAGTCATATTCTGCACTTTTGCAGTCCATTGAAGTCCATTTATAATATTAGTTGTGATATTCTCTAGCACCAAAAACATATTCACATCTGTTTTGGTTCAAATATTCCACCTTTCTGAACCTTTAGAATTTGGAATCTGTTTTTGTAACTGTATCTTAAGAATTCTATATGTTATTTTAAAATTATTTATATTTTATATTCCGTAATATTTAGCATTACATTTTATTTTTATATTTTGCAGTTTTCATTTTAATTTAAGTTTATTTTGTGTTTTTGTCATTATTAGTTTTTGTTTTAAGTATTTCTTTATTATTATTTTTTTTTAATTCTTTTATCAACAATTTTTATTTTTTATTTAAGAATAATTTATTTTATTGTCATTTTAATACTCCAACTTATTTTATTTCACTTAGTTGGCAAGGCAAAATTTTCATTTAAGTTTGATTTAAGTTTTCAGTGTAGGTTTTTGATCTAGCTTTTATTTTATTTTAAATTATTTTTATTGTTTTGTTTTTTTATTTAATTATTTTTATTATTTTATTGTTATTTATTTGTTTTCTGTTATTTTATCTTTTTAATCTTAATCTATTTTATCTTGTTTTTGTTGTATTTTATTTTTTATTTTAACCTTTTTTTTATTTATTTCATCTTATTTTTTATTTTATTGATTTATTTTCCACACCAAAAACATTGAGGCAGCCTCAATGACATACGCAGCCTACGCAGAAATGAGACACACCCAGTAAATAAATCCATATGTAAATTCCCTGTATTATGATTGGCTAACCTCTTCGCATATGAAATGAGTGTCACTTCCAACGTTCTAAATCTGGCTTTTCAAATATATTTCTGCAGGATTTGCTGGCGCTCACTGTGAGCTGGACATCAATGAGTGCGTGTCGAGCCCTTGTCATTACGGAGTGTGTCGGGACGGCGTGGCTGCTTTCACCTGTGATTGTCACCCCGGATACACGGGCCGCCTGTGCGAGACCAACATAAACGAGTGCTTGAGCCAACCCTGCCGAAACGGAGGCACCTGCCAGGACAGAGAGAACGCCTACACCTGTACCTGTCCTAAAGGAACCACAGGTAACACATGCACGCTCATCAAAACACTTGTGCGAAATATAACGGTGAGTTTACGATGACATAATCATGTCGTGATTGCGTCCGCAGGAATGAACTGTGAGATAAACATTGACGACTGCAAGAGTAAACCGTGCGACTATGGAAAGTGCATCGACAAGATCAACGGCTACGAGTGTGTGTGTGAACCCGGATACACAGGTGAGTCAGAGCAGCATCTGTGTGTGTGTGAGAGAACAGGTGAACAGGTGGCCAGCGAAGTGCAGAGCTTGTGTATCAGATAACAGATATGACAGAGACTGCCTTTCCCAACTGGGACACACACTCACACAGGTGTGCTTTACATTAATGCTACGGCCCGAATGATCACAAGACTGACCCTTTGTATGTTGCATTTAAGGAAAAGGTACAATAGGCCCTGTTATACTGTGAATATAGGACAGCAGCAGGAGGAGTTTCACAATATAGCACAGCATCAAGTGCGTTATTGTTCTTATACCTATAATAAAAACATAAGAACACAATTTAAAACAGAACTTTATTTTATTTCGTTTATCTCGTTTTCAACATAAATTTCTACTAAAATAACACTGAATGCAAAGCAGAAACAGTTTTATATGCCTAAACACAGAAGTAAAATAAAAAAAATCATAATTTTTAAGGCTGTTGTATGTCCCAGTATTGCAACTTTATTTTATTAAGCAATGATATTGCTCACAATACTTTGTGCAACACAAGTTTAGGACAGTTTTCAACATCAGTTTTATGAGTTTTTCTACTAAAATAGCACTGAATGCATAGCCAAAACAGCAGTTTTTAAATGCATGAAATGCATCATTATAAATGCATTTTAACTAATTTAGCTAATGCTTGCATGCAGATGGCAAGCATACACAACATAAAACACTATTTATTTATTTTATTTTTTTATGTTTTTTGTGTATATAGAGTATTTTTGTCATTCAAGTGCCTTATTTGTAACTTTTGCTATATACAGCTTTAAGGACTGATGTTGCCCATAATCCTTTGCACTATGTAAGAAGGGGAGGGCAGTTTACTTTTTCAGCCTCAATTTTACAACTTTTTCTACTACAATAGCACTGAATGCAAAGCTGAAACAGCCTTTTTATATATGCATGAACCTAAGAGTTAATAAAGAATTTTGAGCTAATTAAATTGGCTAGATACTAATACTTACATGCACATAAAAAACACTATTTCTTAGCCTAGTATGCCCTGATATTGTCATTCTTGAATCTTCAAGTACAGAAATTGTCATTGCAACTTTACTTTATTTTAAGGACTTATATTGCTCACAATCCTTTGTGCACATAAGAGAAGGAAAATTATTTTTAAACATTAATTTTATTTATTTTCCTATTTAAATAGCTTTGATAAAATAGCATGCTTTTTCGCTACATTTAAATTATTTAGCATTGCCTCAAATGCCTTTTTTTGTTTGCTATATAATAAAAAATATTTGTATTAAATTTGTTTTTAAATAATATTTTTTATTTAATTTAATTTTAAATATATAAAAAAAATAGTGTCTAAAATGTATATAATAGTTATCAGTCTATGGTTGCTGCAAGTGAACAGGTGTTTTTTGTTTTGTTTTTTTAAGCATGACCTGAACACTTTTTGAGTGGTACTAAAGGTATTGTAGTAAGTATTGTACTCAGTTTAGTGTGTGAGAGAGAAACTGGAATAAAGTCCCATTGTTGTTGGAGAATCAAACAGTTACCCATTACCCTACAGAGGAGGGATGTATGTGTGTGTCGAGGGGGTAATTGTTGTTCGGCCGTGTGTGAAATAGGGTCTGTCCTTTTGTATCTGCAAACAGCCCTCTGTAGGACCTGCCCTCCCCCGGCGAGTGTGTGAGGGGTGTGTGAGTAAGGATGAATGAAAGCGCACAAGAGGGTGGAGGAAATCCTTTGTGCATTCGGAGCAGGGCTGGAGATTTGGGATGGGGCCCACACACACAAACACACACAAAGGCAGGCAAAGAACAAGAGTCCCAAGGAACATTCCTTTACTATGCATTTTCACTTATCGATAGTTATACATTTCAAACTTTGGGTTAGATCACTGTAAGACTTTGAAGAGCATCATATATGATAAATGCAGATGGTCAGTGAGGAAAATGATTGACAGACTTTTCTCGACATATGTGATTCAATGTGATGTGAATCAAATATATGGCCTTTAAGTTGTTTAACCTCCTTTACTGTCTTACTCATTTACCTTTAAACCTCCTTTACTGTCTTAAATAGGTCAAAACTGGTCATATTGTTCAAGTTTCCTCAATTCATTTATCTATCATTTAGTCTTCGTGTGTGTGTGTGAGTAAACTTTTAGTTATAGTTTTATAGTAATTAAAATGTAAACATTTAAAAATGATCATATATTATATTACATTATATTATATTTACTTTTTAAAAAATGTATTATTCCAAATGGTATTATTGTATTCTTTCAAATAAATGGCATTCTTTTAAACTTTCTATTCATTCAAAAAATCTAAATTTAATGTATCACTGTTTTCACAAAATAATAAGCAGCACAACGTTTTTCAAGATTGATAATAAATGTTTCTTGAGCAGTAAATCAGCATATTAGAATGATTTCTGAAGGATCATGTGACACTGGAGTAATGATGCTGAAAATTCAGCTTTGCAACACAGGAATAAATTATATTTTAAAATATATTCACATAGTAAACAGTTATTTTAAATTCTAATAATATTTGACAATATTACTGTTTTTACTGTATTTTTGATCAAATAAATGCAGCCCTGTTGAGCATTAATGACTTATAAAACATCTTCAAAAGCATCTTTTAGAATCAAATCAAGGTCATCCTATAATATTTTCCACTGATTATTCGGTTGCACACAGGAATATGTTGCATTTCAGAAGATTCCTTTTCCACACGTATTGTTTTTCCTCACAGGCTCAATGTGTAACATCAACATTGACGACTGCGCGTTAAACCCGTGTCACAACGGCGGCACCTGCATCGACGGCGTCAACAGCTTCACCTGCCTCTGTCCCGAGGGTTTCCGTGACGCCACCTGCCTCTCCAAACACAACGAGTGCTCCAGCAACCCCTGTATCCACGGCAACTGCCTGGACCAGATCAACAGCTACAGATGCATGTGTGAGGCCGGCTGGACGGGACGCAACTGCGACATCAACATCAACGAGTGTCTGTCCAACCCGTGTGTGAACGGAGGCACCTGTAAGGACATGACCAGCGGCTACATGTGCACCTGCAGAGCCGGCTTCAGCGGTAAGACGCTGCGTCCCAATACTTCCTAAATAGTGTGGAAGATTAGTCCTAATGGCTTTTCACATTATGCATGCTTTCTGGTTCACAATCCTTTGCAGTACATAAGAGGAGGAGTTTATGATTTTAAATTAATTAAATTAATTAAGTGCAATCTCGAAACAGCTGTTTTATGATTTTTAACTTAAAAAGTTAAGCAATAAAGAATTTTTAAGATGATTAATATAGATAGATTCTAACGTTTACATGCAAACGGTGATGGGCTGTGTGAAATTTTATGAATTTTTTTTATGGAGTTAGTATTTTTTCATTTTACTGCAGTGTCAAAATGAAATAATAAATATATAATATAATAATAATAATATAAAATATAATAATAAAATGCAATTTAAAAAGGTCAAAAATAAACAAACTTGTTAACACTTGACACTTACCACTGAGAAACGTCCTGCTCCAGTCGTGCTTGCGAATCAGTCTCTTGTCGATCAGCCAGTTCAACCGTTTCATCATCAGACTCCGGCTCGAATTGTTAAGGTACAATAGATACCATCTTTTCTATGTATTGACAAGTCTCCAGGGCTGTCATGACAATTGGCATTTTGTTTCCGTAGAGAGATTGGCTCTGGATTGGTCTACCGCGTAAAGTGCGTAAAGATTGGTCTACTTTACGTGGTAGACCAATCCAGAGCCAATCTCTCTACGGCTCTGGACCAATCACAAAGGACTGCGCCATCTGACCAATCACAGCAGTGAGGGCTCACGGAAAGGAGGGGTTTAGAGAGACTGATACTTTGAACTGCTTCGCACAAGTCGTTTACAAATCATTTAGAAATGAGGTAAAATTAAATCTTTTTTTTTTTTTAAACTAACGTGTTTTTTGACCTTGCATGCATGTAAACCTGTTTTAGGAGACTCTTAAAACAATATTAACAACCTTAAAAATGGCATAATAGGGGCAATTTAAATAAAAGTCTTAATTTTTCGAAAAGTATTTTTGCTGCTGTATGTATGTTTTGCATATTAAATGATTTGACTTTGATAAATTGTATGACAGTTTTGCCTGGTTTAACTGATTTTCCTGGTGGACTTTTTAAGTATGCATGGAAGCTTTTTGGCCTCAAAATGTTTAAAATAAAATAAAATGATAAAATATATTAAAATAATAATGTATTTTTAATGCATTATTAATAAACAAAACTATTAATAAATTACATTAGAAATAATCATATAATATAAAATTTTATAATAAAAATGATTAATTTATAAAATAAGTTAATATGCATTTGCTCCAGTGGATTCTGAAGATTGCATGCATGGGTTAAAATTTTCCAAAATAAATAAAAATAAAATATATTACAGCAATTTTTTTTCAATGCATTATAAAAATAAAATAATTCTTACTGTAAGACTATGTAACAAACTTAAAGTAATAGTAATTGTAAGCTAAATATATTGCGCAACAGAGTAAACATGGTATGTCACAATGCTGTTGTACTGTATTGCTACACACCCAAAAGCATGCATTTCCCCTTTTGCTTATTTCTGCATTTTGTGTGATCTGATGTTATGTGTTTTCTTGCATTTAGGTCCCAACTGCCAGACAAATATTAACGAGTGTGCATCCAACCCCTGCCTAAACCAGGGCACCTGCATCGACGACGTGGCCGGATTCAAGTGCAACTGCATGCTGCCTTACACGGGTACGAACACACACGTAACAGCCATTGTACAGCTGGTTCTTGTTTTGAAACGGCAGGTTTTGCAGAGGTGTGTGTAAGAATGTCAGAGGACGTCATATAACAGCACTGTGTCAAGGGTGGCTACTCAAATAGGTCCATTTCCTTTTTGGCCCCTTCCTGTTTCCTGTTGAGGCAAAGAATTGACAATAGAAGGAAACGCCAAGTGACTTCCTGCTTCAGCTGGTCACCATGGAAACAGATAAGGAAGTGCCTGCAGGAACCAGAGCATGTGAGCGGAGCGGTGTGACGCTCCGCTACGTTTTCCGCTCTATGGACGTGCGCTCCACTCAGTCGCTCTAACCGCCCAAGCAAGCGCTCCGTTAATATTCCGCTCACGCTCGCCGTAAACCAATTCCCGCTCAGATCCCGCTCCGTTCTGTAAAGAACAAATTTGCGTGCATTATATTAGATTATAAATCACTGCTGCCTATATCTAGCCTACATTCTGTAGGACTACCTATTGGTTCGGGTCAGTTTTTTAAAAAATAATATTTTAATAGGCCTAAGTGGTGTAGGCTAATATCTTCTGTACTCTGTAGTTTTGTATTTAGGCCTATATACAGCTGTGTGTTAGCTTACAATCTTTTACATTTTTAACACACTCTGTTAGCTTAGATAATTTAGAAGTTTCATCTGGTCTTGTTGAGATATATAGTTGAGTATCATCGGCATAACAGTGGAAACTAATCCCGTATTTTTTAATAATATTACCAAGGGGCAACATGTATATCGAAAATAGCAGAGGACCTAGGACAGATCCTTGTGGCACTCCATATTTTACTGGTGATAATTGAGATGACTCCCCATTTAAATGAACAAGGTGGTAGCGATCGGACAGGTAGGATCTAAACCATCTTAAAGCCTGCCCTTGAATACCTGTATAGTTTTGTAATCGATCTATGAGTATGTCATGATCTATAGTATCAAACGCAGCACTAAGATCAAGTAAAACTAGCAATGAGATACAGCCTTGGTCTGACGCAAGAAGCAAGTCATTTGTAATTTTAACAAGTGCAGTTTCTGTGCTATGGTGGGGCCTGAAACCGGACTGAAATTCTTCATAGAGATAATTTTTATAAGATCAATGTATAAGGCTTGCAACTTCGTTGAAACAATATCTGAACTCCATAACTGCTCTACTATTCTCGATCTCTACAGATTCTCGATCTCGAACAAGCAAATCACCAAACGGCATTCTGGGTTGAGCGAGCGGCGTATTGAGCGAGCGGAGCGGAATCTTCAGAAAGGCGCTCTGCGCTCTTAAGGAAATATTACCACTCCGCTCCCCGCTCCGCTCATGCTCCGCTCCACTCACATGCTCTGGCAGGAACTGAGCTGGAAAAATTAGCCAATATAGAAGAGCGAAACTGAGATAACAAAGAATCAACAGGCTTTTTGCTCATTTTCTGCATTGATTTTGAGGAAAAACCTGCAGAATTCTGGGTGGATTTAAACATGGTCAAATGTTTAATATACTTTTACTGGTAGCAGAAAACATATTCAAATTAGCCAAAATATTTAATAAACAAACATTCAGGGGGATGTACAGTATGCTTTTGCAGTGTTTTCCTGCCTGTATCAGTGTTATTTTGGTATCATGCATATACTATTGTAGTCAACTATTTTTTAAAAGTTTAAAAATAATTATTTTAGCATCTGTTGAATTTCTTTTATATTTTTATATTTCTATATTTTATTTATATTTTCAGTTTTTCATTATTTTATATTTTCAATTATTTATTTTATTTTAGTCTTAGTCATTTAATAAGTTTTAACAACTTGTGTATTTTGTCATTTTAATTAGCTTTTGTTTTGTTTTAAAAAGTAATTTTAGTATAATTTTAATTATTTATTTATTTTTACTATTTAAAGGTTTAGTAATTTTGTTTTATCGCTTTAGTTTAGTTTTTTAGTTAGTTTTTCATTCGTTTTTTATTTGTTTGTTAATGTTATTTTAGTATTAAATAGTATTGAATATTTGAATTTTTTTTTTTATTTTGATATTTTTGTTTTTTTATTCATTTTACACTTATAGCAATTATACTCTAGTTAAAGTTTTTATAATTTTGTGTTGTCATTTTTTTTAGTTTTTGTTTTATAAACATTATTTTAGTAATAAAAGTAATAAATTAATAATTATTTAGTAATAAAATAAGTTTATTTTATTTTATGAATGTTTATTTTATTTCAAGTTGACATAATAATGACAATTATTTAAAGTTAACGATAATAATCCTGGCCTTTATGTAAATTTCGCATCAGTTTTGACACTTTCTCAATGTGTGTGTTTCAGGCGAGGTGTGTGAGAGCGTTTTGGCTCCCTGTGCTCTGCGTCCTTGTAAGAATGGAGGTGTCTGTCGTGAGTCTGAGGATTTTCAGAGCTTCTCTTGTGCTTGTCCTGCTGGATGGCAAGGTAAGAGTGTGTGAGATTATGTGCATTTCATGTTCTCTGCATGTCGTGATCTTCATCATAACCGCTGTCGTCTCACTACAGGTCAGACGTGTGAGGTAGATATTAACGAGTGTGTGAGGAATCCTTGCACTAACGGAGGAGTGTGTGAGAACCTGCGTGGAGGATATAAGTGCCGCTGCAACCCCGGATTCAGCGGAGATCTGTGCCAGAACGACATTGACGACTGCGCGCCAAGTAAGACACGCAGAACACGCACAAACCTAGACAGCATTTCTAGGCATCATAGAACATTAGATGGTGCTCGTTATCCCTATAATGCTGTCTACGTAGGCAGCTTTCTTACTTTTAAAATTTTATAATCACTCTGTGATGTTTTATGCCATCTTCTGTAATTGCATTTGTTTTTCTTAGTTTAATGTGCTTTATTGTACATTTGTATTACTACAGCAGTACAAATGAAGAAAAATAAAAATAACAAGTGCAAATGGTAAAATAAAATAAGGTAAAAAAGGTAAATTCAATAAAAAAAAACTGAAAATTTAATAAAATGTTGCTTTATTTTAGAATAAAAATATTTAATTATAATTAATGTGTTTTATAGTGCATTTGTTACTAAAACCGTGCAAATAAAGCAAAATAAGTGCAAATGACAAAATACAATTATTTTAAAAGAAAATTAAATGAAAAAAATGTAAAGAATAACTTAATAAAAAACTGATCATTAAATAAAATTATTTAAAAATGTAATATTTAATGTGCTTTATTTGCACTGTTTTAATAATACAAATGTACAAAGCAAAATAACAAGTGCAAATGGAAAAATAAAATTAATGTAAAAATTAGATTAAAAATTAATGTAAATACAGTAAATGAAATAAAATGCCGTTTCTGGATGGACCTAGTAATACTAAAGTAGAATAAAGCAAAATAAAAATGTAATTAAATGAATGTAAAAAGAAAAATTAAAAAAAGAAAATTAAATAATGTAGTTTAATTTTTAAAATAAGGTATGTAACACAAATAATGAACAAAAAGGAAAAGATTATGTGGCAACCAACAGAAGTTATTAGTAGTAAAGAAAGACTGAATATGGCAGTGATGGCAATTCTTCTCTCGCTCTCAGATCCGTGCAGTAATGGCGGTGTGTGTCAGGACCGTGTGAACGCCTTTGTGTGTGTGTGTTTGGCTGGTTTCCGTGGTGAGCGCTGTGCAGAGGACATCGACGAGTGTGTGAGCGCCCCCTGCCGAAACAGAGGGAACTGCACCGACTGCGTCAACAGCTACACCTGCAGCTGTTCTGTAGGATTCAGCGGCATCAACTGTGAGATCAACACACCCGACTGCACTGAGAGGTACGCACACGACACGTTTTCAAATGCATTTTAAATTTCTTATTTTTACTTGCATTTTAAAATTAAAATGCATTGATTTATTTTTCGCTTGCATACAAGCAATCTCAATCTGTGTTGTTTCTCCTCTCCAGCTCTTGTTTTAATGGCGGAACATGTGTGGATGGCATAAACTCTTTCTCATGCGTGTGTTTGCCGGGATTCACTGGGAATTACTGCCAGCATGACGTTAACGAGTGCGACTCGCGGCCGTGTCAAAACGGAGGCACCTGTCAGGATGGATACGGCACCTACAAATGCACCTGCCCTCACGGATACACCGGACTCAACTGCCAGGTACACAAACACACGCTGTTTTTGCTCTCTAAATTAGTCTAAAGGAATATATAAATTTATATATTTATATAAATATATTTAATTAGTTTATATTGTTACATTAACATTTTTATACTTTATTTATTTTTACATAAAGTGGTGTATATTTTTTTAAATATTATATAAACAATATATATTATATAGTGTATTTTTTCCCTTTAATTTTTAGTAGTATACTTTCATGAAATAGATATATTTGGTGCATGTTTTATTTCCTGATGTTTGTGTGTTTCAGAGTCTGGTGCGCTGGTGTGACTCTTCCCCCTGTAAGAACGGTGGCTCATGTTGGCAGCAGGGGTCTTCTTTCACCTGCCAGTGTGCCAGCGGCTGGACCGGCATCTACTGTGACGTCCCCAGTGTCAGCTGTGAGGTCGCTGCCAAGCAGCAAGGTAACAATCACTATTAAATAGACTAGCACTTTTATACCAAACCCATAACTTACTAGGCCTAAAATAGAATATTTTGCATGAAGAAACTGCTGGAGGTTGATGGAAAACTAATAATGAATTTAATAATAAAAATGTCAAATTAAAATGGTTAAATAATTGTAAAATAAAAACAATCAACATGCATAAATGAATAAGTGAATAAAAAAATGTAAATATTTTAAAAATATTTGTACCCGTTGACCACAAAACCAGCCTTAAGTGTAAATTTTTCGAAACTGAGATTTATAAATCATATGAAAGCTGAATAAATAAGCTTTCCATTGATGTATGGTTTGTTAGGATAGGACAATATTTGGCCGAGATACAACTATTTGAAAATCTGGAATCTGAGGGAGCAGAAAAATCTAAATATTGAGAAAATCGCCTTTAAAGTTGTCCAAATGAAGTTCTTAGCAATGCATATTACTAATCAAAAATTAAGTTTTCATATATTTACGGTAGGAAATTTACAAAATATCTTCATGGAACATTATCTTTACTTAATATTCTAATGATTTTTTGCATAAAAGAAAAATTTATAATTTTGACCCATACAATGTATTTTTGGCTATTGCTACAAATATACCCCAGCGACTTAAGACTGCTTTTGTGCTCCAGGGTCACAATTTATTTGTTTACGTGCATGTCAGGTGACCACTAACCAATACTGTGTTATTACATTTAAGGTTTAAAATATATTAAATGTCCAGTAACAGATTTAAAAGTAATACATATTACTTACCAAATTTACATATGTTATGAAAATGATTACATTTATATATTTTTTTTGCAATATTTGTACATTCTGACAATAGAGAATAAATGAATAAAAATGAAATGAAAATTAAATATGTACTTAAAAAATAACTTTAATAAACTTTAATAAATTAGTACATTTATTTAATACATAAAAAAAAAATTTGATAAAAATTATTACACTTTTGGCGATATTTACAATTCCTGTGTATTTCTCCTAACATGCACAAACAAGCTGAAATTTTTTTTTATGTTTGCCACATTAAAATGCCATATTAAAAGTAGGGATGCAACAGTTATAGATTTTGTTGGTACGATTATTGTCTGAGGAATAATCACGGTTTACGATTATGACGGTTATTATGCATTTACTCATTTCCCAACATTACTAATGTATAAAATCACATGAACACTCTTTAGATATTAAAGTGTTATTTATTGCTGGCTTTTGAAACAGAAATAACACAGTAACCAACAATACAGCAAAAAATTATAATAAACAAAAGACAAACAAAAGTCCATCTCTCCCATTGGAATTAAAAAAAGGTGACCTCTGCTCTGTAAACATCCATGACAGTATTTCTCTTTTGAAAATAACAAATGGAAATAGATCGCAAAAGTATTTAATGTTTTCAGTTTGTACCTTCTTTACATTTAGAATTTGGAAACATGGTGAAAAAAAATATTATTGGTTTTTACTTATGAATAATACTACAACAGGGATAGTAAATAACAAAGTTAATGAAATAGCCTATTATTAATATACGACTAATATTAACTTTATTTGTCCCACAGGGGAAACTGTTACTAATGATGGAAATAAACTGAAATATTGTAATCAACTGTCATCCATACGTATTCATTTTAATAATCTTTATAATAATTCATATGATTTTACATGTGGCCTGAGAA